TGACCCCAGAGGAAAGTCAGTAGAAGTCAGGACAAGCCTCTTATGCTATGACAGTCTACTCAGTTCCTGTGCCAAGATGGACATCTGTAGAACATCAGATGGAAAGTTGGCATTCCCTCCCAAAATGTTTTTGACTATCCTGAATTAAACCTTATTTCCCTTCCCAAGCTGCAAACACATAGAAATATGTCAAGGGCTCAAGAGAGATGGACAAAGACTTACAAATACATAAAATTATATACTTTTGGGGGGTGCCCAGTTGTCAGCTTGAACTCTGGGCCTGAGTGCTATCCCTCAACTCTTCAGCTCAAGGCTAGTGCTCTACCACTTGAGCTACAGGGCCACTTCTAGCTTATTTTCTTTTTGCTTATGTGGTTCTGAGGAATCGAACCCAGAGCCTCATGCATGCAAGGCAAGCACTCTACCACTGAGCCACCTTTCCAGCCCCCAAATTATATACTTTGTTTCAGTTGTTTCAGTAATTCAATGACAAATCATGAAAGGCATATCTTGATTTTTCTTTTTTTAATGGAAATGGGAATATACACTGAGTGCATTAGGGAGTAGGTGATAGTTTGGATGCTGAGTTGTGGAATGCACTCCTGGGCATGGGAGACACTTGCCTTTGAGAACTTGTGTGGGGATGCGTCTCCGCACACAGCTTCACAAAACAATGCCCATAACTTGTATGGTGTCATAGCCATCTTTCCATAACAGCAAATAGGTGTCAGGCACTGATCTTTCTCTGAAGTGGACTCAGCAACACAGAAAGGCACAAAGAATGAGAGGGAATGACTGCTAGCCACCAGATATCAGCTTCAAGAGCTGTCCTGACCAGAATCTAGGATAAATTGAGCTGGTGAAGGCTGATCCCCATGCAAGGCTCCTAGCACTAAGGACTAGGCACTATTATAGGTGTTGGAGAAACAAGTGAATGTGGCTCTCTCCTCATCAATTTCATGCTGAAAAGAAAACCAGAAATCATAATGATAATTTTTGTAAATCAGAGACATGACATTGGTAGTTTTGTGGCAACAATTTCACAGCGGGTATGTGAGGAGATATCCCTGAGGAGGAGATAGTTAACCTGAGAGCCATCATCCATGCAATTAACTAGACGCAGGTACTCCAGGCAGTAAGAGCAGCAATTACATCCCTCAGTGATGGGAAAGGACGTAACTTGCTTCAGAAAAGGCAAACATCACTGACGTGCTTGTTTGTGAAGTAAGAAAAAAAAGGTACAACGAAGAAAAAAAGATCAGACATGAAGATCAGAATAAATTATAAAGATATTGGATGCTGCGAGTTACAAGGAGAAAAATTCTGATGTTATTCTAAATCTGACATGACCCACTGGAACCAAAGTGCTCAAATAGTACCTAGACACATCTGATTCACCTATATACTTTTAAAATGTGATTCTAGCCAGGCTCTGGTGGCTCACAACTGGAATGTTAGCTACTCGGGAGGCTGATACCTGAGGATCAGGTTTGAAGCAAGCCCAAAGAGGAAATTTGGAAAGACTGACCTCCAATTAAACACCAAAATTATGGACATGAAGCTGTGTTCAACTGGTAGAGCACTAGCCTTGATAAAAAATTAAGGGACAACACCCAGGCTCTAGATTCAAATCCCTGGACTTCACAAAACAAAGAAGTCAACAAATAAAATTTGGTGCTCAGTCGATCAGCACTTAGCATTCTACTTCAATGTATTTAGTATGAGCCTAGGAAGTTACATCCTTAGCAAATGCTCTCCCCTCATATTCTGCTTCATTACCAGTATTCAAATGCCTGGCATTACCAAAGTCTCCTCCCAGTTAGCATAGCAGTCTACCACTGGGAATTAATAGATATATTTTGATTAATCATAATCTATCCACACACATCAAATGAGTGGTAGCCACATTCCACTATTATGAATGTTTTTGCTCCCCCTTTGAGTTAATAAGGCTTACCATTAAAAGCTATAGAATACTTATCAAATTAAGTCAACAATCATCATTCTTCGACCCAATCTTGTAACCTATGTAATGTGTGTTTTTTTTTTGTTTTTTTTTGATGTCGATGCCCTGTATCTTGTATATACATTTCTCTAGCTTTGGGGAGAGAAGGGAAAAAACAAATGCTTAACTAGGGATACAGTTTGACCCATTTTAACAATGAGATCAAGACACTATGTTCAAAAACGTACTTTACAATTTATGCAAGGAGTGGGGAGGTGGGATGGAAAGGAGTAGTTGTGGAGGTGGAAGGGTAGGGATGGTAGGGGAAAAACAAAGGAGGAAGTAACAATGCTTGAGAGGAAATGAACTCATTACCTACTTTATATAACTGTAATTCTTTGTACATTATTTTTACAATAAAAAACGTATTAGAAAAGATGAAAAGACCCAGAAATAAAACTACATACTTACAATCATCTGATATTCGACAAAAGAGCGAAAGATGTAATGTGGAAAAAACATAGCCTTGCTGGGTGCCTGTGGCTCATGCCTTTAATCTAGCTACTCAGAAGGCTGAGATCTGAGGATGGTTTTTGAAAGCCAGCAGGGCCAGGGAAGTCCATGAGACTCTTAGCTCCAATAAACCTCAAGAAAATGGGAAGTGGAACTGTGGTTCAAGTACTAGCCTGGAGATGAAATGCAAAGGGGTAGCTCCGAGGCCCAGAGTTCTAGCCCCACGACCAACACACACAGACACACAGACACACAGACACACAGACACACAGACACACACACACATACACAGACACACACACACACACACACACACATCATAGCCTCTTCAACTATTGGTGTTGGGAAAACTGGACATCCACAGGCAGAAAACTAGAAGTGGATCTCTGCTTGCACTAACATCAACTCAAAATAGATTAACTATATTAAAATCAGCCAAACTACTATAACACAGAAAAAGGGTGATATTAGAACTTATAGGTATTGAGGTGCGAGCTGGGCAGCTGCACGCCGAGCACCAGTAGTTGCGCTCCAGATCCTGCAATCTCACACCCCCTACCTAGACCCAGTAAGCGCTTACTCCAGTTGGCCCCTGCGACAGGCGCCATGCATCGAGCGGCGCCCCGCACTCTGGGCCGCTCTGCTCACCGCCCTGGCTCTGTTCCTCAGGCCGCCGGTGACGAGGGTCCCATCTTATGCTGAGAGCCCTGAGATGCCAACGCGCTGGCTCAGTGCAGGGGTGTGCCGATCTGGTGCCCGAGCCAGGCTATGGCTGCTGCCTGACATGTGCTCTGCGCAAGGGCCAGCCGTGCGGTATCTACACTGAACGCTGCAGCTACAGCTAGGGGCTCAGCTGCCAACTGCCACTGGGCAAGCCATGCCCACTGCAGGCGCTACTGGACGGCTGCGGGTTCTCCGCCAACGCCAGCATCCCGGCCAGCTGAGGCTTACCTGCTGCTGGTGCCCTCCGCCTCAGGAAATGCTAGTGAGTCGGAGAAGGACCGAGGCACAGGGAGCGTGGAGAGCCATGCCCTGCCCAGCACACATAAGGTGCCTGACTCCAAGTTTCATTCCATTCACGCAAAGCTGAACACCATCAAGAAAGGTCACGGGAAGGACAACCAGCGCTATAAAGTTGACTATGAGTCCCAGAGCATGGACACCCAGACCTTCTCCTCGGAGCCCAAACGGGAGACAGAATATGGTCCCTGCCTTAGAGAGATGGAAGACACCCTGAATCACCTGAAGTTCCTCAATGTGCTGAGTCCCAGGGGTGTGCACATCCCCAACTGGGACAAGAAAGGATATTATAAGAAGAAGCAGTGTAGCCACTCCAAAGGCAGAAAGTGGGACTTCTGCTGGTGCGTGGACAAGTATGGTCAGCCCCTCTCAGGCTTCAAGAGCAAGGGCACTGATGACGTGCACTGCCTCGGCATGCAGAGGCAGTAAACCCCACTGCATCAGTTAAATTGGAGCTCGAATACCCCTTACTTTGCACAAAAGACTGCCACGGACAGAACAGCACCTGCCTACAGCCTCAACTTATATTTCTTTTTGTGATGACTTGGTTTTGTGTGTGTGTGTGTGTGTTTTTAAGAAAACCAAAGTTTAGACAGAGATTTTTGAAATGTCTATTGTTCCTTTAAATGGTAAACTCGAGCATCTTTCCACTTTTCAGTAGTCAGAAAAGAAAATTAATTTCTCTGTTGCTTTCTGTAAAAATAACTGATACTCCTGCCCAAATCAGCGGATTTGATACCCTTCTAGAATCCTCTCCACATCTGCCCATTGGAACAGCTGACCTTCTGCCTCCCTCACTTCAGTGGCTATTGTAGAAGACACCTCTTTGCCCTCCTCCCTGCTCAGGCCTCATGGAGAACAGGAAAGTCAGAAACTCTAGTCACCTGGACAAGACATCTCTACCATACATGAGACCTCTGGCCCTCCTGGAACTATCTGATTCCAAGGCAAGGACCCCTGGGCCACAAAGCTTCTTCATTATCTGCAAGTGACTTGATCTGCTTGGAAAATACTGGAGTCATTGAGGTGGAATACAACTGACCAAGAAAGTTCTATAAAACTGACCAAAAAAGTTCTAGCACATTTTGGGAAACTTGTAAATGCAGATCTTTCTGACTTCCCTCCATTAGGCAGCTTTTCAAGGATGGAGCCCAGTGGAAGGCCCAGGGTGGCCTTGGCTGTGGTCCAGCAGGGCATGGAGGAGGCTGGGAGTATACCCCACACTTCACCAGTAATGGAGACAACAACAACAAAATGTTTTCTAATTTAACTCCTAGTTTGGTGTTGAGGATAATAAACTATTTAAAGGCAAAGGTTTATTTTCACCCCTCATCTTTATTCTTGACCTAACAAAACAATGGTGTTTAATGTTATCTAAACAGGAAAGATGAACAGCTTGTTGAGAAGCCTCATAGGGACACTGGGAGCACATAGAGAATAACTTGTGTTTGTTGAACTTGGAGTCCAACTTATACTTTACAATTCACACTTATATGCAGAGAGAGTTATATGTTCTCAACAGTTAACATTGTATACAGCATAGCCCAACTATAATAGGATCCATACTAGATAATCCTAGATAGTGTTAGATACTGGAAAGTGTCACTATGGCCGTGACCAGGAGAGGGCACTCAGTCCAGCCTGGGCTTTTCTCTCCCCAAGGCCAAACCCATGGCAGCGTTGGATGTGTGGCGATTGTCCTGTCCTACACTGCAGAGAGCTCTCCTTAAGAACAAAAAGAGGCCTCAAGACAGTCTGCCTACTTATTACGAGCTTTCCTTTATTTTTTTAATTTTTGGGGGGGGAAAGTATTTTTTGAAAAGTTTTGTCTTGAGATGTATTTATAAAAGTAAATAAAGTTTTTACCATTAAAATAATAATTAAAAAAAGAACTTATAGGTACTGGCAGGAACTTCCTGAATAGAATCCCAGGGACATAACAGATAGGAAAGAGACCCAACAAATGAGACTACATCAAAGGAAAAAACCTACACAGGCTAGAGACATAGCCACTAAATTAAAAAGACAGCCAACAAATTGGGAAAAGATATTTACCTGCAATACATCAGACAAAGGGCTAATTTTCCATGTATACATGGATCTCAACAAACAACCCCTCCGCAAACTAATAAACCTATCACCAAATGGGCAGAGGAGCTAAGGAGAGACTTCTCATAAGAAGAGGTAAGAATAGCAAAGAAACATATCAGGAAAGGTTCATCATCCCTGGCCATAAAGAAATTATAAATCAAAGTAATCCTGAGATACAATCTTATCCAAATATCTTGAATTAGACAACAAATGTTGGTGGGGAAGTGGAGAAATTAGAAAAAGGCAAGGACATTTGTACAACCATGTTCCTTGCTGCTCAATTCACAGTGACAAGAAATGTACACAACCCAGATGCCCCACAATAAATGAATGGAACCAATAATTATGCCATCTATATACAATGAAATTTTACAGAGCCATTAGAAAGGATAAAATAATGTCATTTGCAGGGAAATGGAGACATTAGAATAAATCATGTTAAGAAAGTTAAGAGAACATCAAATTGACAAATGGTACCTGTTCCACTGATATGTGGAAGAAAGGTTTAAAACACAATGGGATATGACATACTGTACAGGACTCTAGGCATCATTTACAGTAAGAACAGAAGAGGAAGCATTTGGAGAAAATCACAAAGTTGTAATACCCAAGTACCTTTTCTATATAATACTATATATATATATATATATATATATAGAGAGAGAGAGAGAGAGAGAGAGAGAGAGAGAGAGAGAGAGAGAAGGAATTGAATTGCAATGATAAGGAAACAAAGGAACTTTTCTTAATTTGTCTTTTCATTTTCTGATGAATCTGTATTCTTCACCTAATATACAGGGAAGATGGGGGAAGGGCACAGAATTAGTGGGAAGTGGGTGCAAAAAATGCAGCACCAGAGCCCTCTGGCTGTACTGGACATTGATGAAAGTGAACCATGCAAGTCGAGGGTCAAGATGGGAGGGAGGGTATGGAAGAGATTGTGGGAACAGAAAGGTAACCCTGCTCTATATCACTGCTAAAACAATTTTTTTTAAAAAGAATAGGGTTCCCAAATGAGAACATATGAGAATAGGAAAATACAGAGCAGATAATTCTTTTTTTATGTCCTTGGTATCTGATAGTTTCAATCAATATCTATTGTCCTACCAACTGAGTCATACCTCTAAACCCAAAAGTCCTTACAATATTCAAATTTTTCATTGATTTCTTCATATTTTCTATTTACTTTTTGGTTTGTGTTTGTGTGTGTGTGTGTGTGTGTGTGTGTGTGTGTGTGTGTGTGTGTGTGTGTGTAAGAAATGGAGTTTGATCGCAGGATCTAGATGCTATCCCTGAGCTTCTTTTTTATTCAAGAGTACACTCTACCACTTGAGCCAAAGCTTCACTTTGGGATCTTCTTGAACAGTTTATGGGAGATAAAAGATTCACAGAGACGTTTTTGCACCGCTAGATTCAAATCATCACCTTCAGATCTCAGCCTCTGGAGTAGGAAGTATTATAGGCTTGAGTCAAGGCTTCTGGCTTATGAATTGTTGTCCCTTTTTTAAAAAGCTGGTGCCAATGGTTCATGCCTGTAATCGTAGCACCACAGGAGGCTGAGATATGATAATTGAGTTTTAAAGACAACCTGGGTAAGAAAGTCTGTGAGACCATTATCTCATAATCTGGTTAGCAAGAAACCAGAAGGGGCACTGGCTCAAACTGGTAGAGTGATAGCCTTGAGCACAAAAGAACAGGGACTGCCCCCAGGCCCTGAGTTCAAGCCCCACATATAAAAAAATGTAAAAAAATTGCAATCACTTGTAATCTCAACATCCTCAATTGGTGGTGTATCTAAAGTTAATTTGCATCTCACTTCGTATGTATTTGAGGGGGAACTAAACATATAACATTTTTTAAAAAAATGAGCAGTTGGGTTCAGGTGGCTCATGCCTGTAATCCTACCTTTTCAGGAGGCTGAGAAATGAATATGGTGGTTTAAAGACAACCTGGGCAGAAAAGTTCCCATGAGACTGCTATTTCCAATTAACCACTAAAAAACAAGAAATGACACTGTGGTTTAAACTGGTAGGGTAGAGTACTAGCATTGAGCAAAGGAGTTCTGGGACAATACCCATGCCCTGTGTTCAAGTCCCATGTCTGAAGGAAAAATAGAAATCAGGGCTGGGATGTTGGCTCAGTGCTAGAGTGCTTGCCTTGCATGTTGAACCTTTGGGTTCAATTACTCAGTACCACATAAGCAGAAAAAGCGAGAATTGGCATTGTTCCTCAAGTGGAAGCTGCTAGCCTTGAGGTGAAGAGCTAAGGGACAATGCCCAGGCCAGAGTTTAAGATCCATGATGGATAAAAACAAACAAACAAAAATAGTTCAAACATTTAAATGATGTGCACAATAGACTATATACTAAAGATGAAAGATTACATTAATGAATTAATAATTAAAGTGATCAACATTGTTTCGATTTTGTAAGTGGTGAATATAGCAGAAAAAGTGATAAGAAATAATGATTCAGTTCTAACCACTCATATTGTTTTAAACTTATTTCTACTTTTAAACTAAAGGGGCACATAAGTATCATTTTACAAAAAAACAAAAATTGTACATGTATTTCAGCCTGAATTCCACATTTTATAATTTTCCTTTTAGTAAACAATCAGTATATTTTCATATAAAATACTTGTAATGCCTTTATTTAATACTTACCATTCTAGTATTTGATTATATCATAATTCCTCCCTTAATTCTTTTCTTCATATCCTTTCCTCCTTTCTATACTAGCAGTTAAATTAAGGGATTCATGCACTTAAGGTAGGTCCTCTAAAATTGAGCCACACGCCTGCTCTTTTTGCTTTAGTCACTTTTGTTTTTGTTGGTCATGTGGCTTGAACTCTGGGCCTGGAGACTGTCACTGCACTCTTCAGCTCATGGCAAGTGATCTACTGTTTGAGCCACAGTGCCACTTCTGATTTTCTGGTGGTTTAATGGAAATAAGAGTCTCACAGACTTTTCTGCTTAGACTGGCATTGAACTGTCATCTTCAGATCTCAACCTCCTGAGTAGCTAAGATTACAGGCATGAGCCACCTGCACCCAGCTCTGCTTTAGCCTTATTTTTTTTTGGGGGGGGCTCAACTCTGGGCCTGGACACTGTCCCTCAGCTCTTCAGCTCAAGTATAGCACTCTACCACTTGAGCCAAAGTTCCACTTCCAGTATTTTTTTATTCTGCTTATGTGATGCTGAGGAATGGAACACAGGGCTTCATGCATGCAAGGCAAGCGCTCTACCACTGAGCCACCTTCCCAACCCTGCTTTTTCCAATTTTATGGCAGGGTTTTCTGTTTATGACCTGGCCAGCATGGTCCACTATCCTTCTTTTTACCTTTTCTGAGTAAATAAAATATAAAGCACAATGCATTGGTTTCAGATATTGATTGAGATCCAATATTGTGAATGTTTCCCTGGGCTAGCTTCAAATCATAATTCTCTCTGTATCAGTCAAGACCTAATAGCTAACATTACAACTATGAGCTCTCAAGCGTGGCTCAAATTTCTGACCACTAAAACATATGAACAAAGTTTTAATAATTTTAAATGTTCAATTTGAGAACAATGAGTGCTTTTAATTGCCTAGTTTCAAATTTCACCAAAAAACACAAATATTAACTTTTGATTTCCTAGATTAAATAAGCAGATAAACTTTAAAAAGCAATTAACTATTTAAAGAAAAAAGCTAGGACTGGAAAGGTGGCTCAGTGGTAGGGCGCTTGCCTTGCATGCCTGAGGCCCTGGGTTCGATTCCTCAGCACCACATAAGCAAAAAGAAAAAAGCCAGAAGTGGCGCTGCAAACAGGCCCAGAGTTCAGGCCTCACGACTGGACCTCCTCCCCCCCAAAAAAGCTAAACCATTGTAACTTTGGATTTAACACCTTGTCAAACATTGTTTACATCATAGTTGGTTTTTATGGGCAGTATATTCCATAAACGGATTATGCCACACCCAATGTCGATGGCCAAACAGACTATATGCACAGGAGTGAAAGCCAGGCTGTGGCCATCACAACATCCATGATCTTATATCTGACTTGCTTTGGAAACAGGATTATTCTTCCATTCTACTTTCTACAAAGTTGCATGATTAGCAAACATGATTTAGAATGAGAATGGCCTCATAATTCATGTTCCACGTAGGAGTCTTCCTTTCTGTATATCATTCCCATAAATCTACATACTGGACTTGGCTTTATTGTTTCAATGTTGTCTTATTTGTAGTCTTCTATACTGTATTGAAACCTTATACTTAAACTCAGAACTTCTCTTTCTCCTATTTTTGCTATTCTTTCCCTTACTGTTAGCTCATGTACACTTGGGAAATTATGAACAGCACGTACACTCACAAAAAGAATGTTCTGAAAGCCTTCTTCCCATTTAAAATTCCCTTAATTCACAGAGAACTTACAAAGTTTGAGCTCAATGTACTCATGTATAATGTATTTATAAGCAATATAAATTTCACATTTTCTCTTTATTAAATTGTCTCTGAAACATGTGTTACCTCAGGTCCAAAGTGTCCTAGTGTTATTTC